ATGGTAGACAGTGTCATCAGGCAAGACACAGGAGTTGTGCCTTCTCTGTTACTTTCCTGTCCTTTGGGACCAACCAAATCTCAAGGAGTAACACAATTCCTCCTTGAGATTTGGTTGGCACCATCCTTTCCTGATTTCAGAGGGCATAAAAATCTGAATCTTTTCCCAAGCAATGGGGAAATTAAGCCAACAGAATAATCTGTTGGTTTAATTTTTTCCAGCACTGAATGTTCTTATGTTTTGAATTTTCTTTTTCTTTTTCTTTTAAGTCATTTTATACGGACTTAATTGTTGTTTACTAATGATGTACACTGCCCCGAGTTATGTGCTGAGTGGCAGACTTTATAAATCAAACTAACTAAATAGATGTAAATTTATTCTTAAACCATCTGTCAAGTTCGTTAAGTTATTTTTCTGATAGGCAAGATTTTGTCACATTTCCATATGGGAAATCAGTTGATTTTGGTGGCTGAAAAGGTTTAATTCATTGGATGGATTTATGCATCAAACTAAGTCAGGAATTTTTTTTATTTAAAAAATATTTATTGAATAAGCCAGAGTAGCTTAGTTAACATATAATGCTTGGGTCTAAACAAGCCATAATGTTCTATTATGGATGACTTAATGACCAACTAGCATTTACTATATTTACCCCAAAATAATAATAATAATAATAATAATAATAATAATAATAATAATAATAATAATAATAATAATAATAATAATAATAATAATAATAATAATAAAAAAGTTGGAAGGGATCTTGGAGGTCATCTAGTCAAACCCCCTGCTCAGGCAGGAAACCCTATACCATTTCAGACAAATGGCTGTCCAGTCTCTTCTTAAAAACTTCCAGTGTTGGAGCATTCACCACTTCTGGAGGCAGGTTGTTCCACTAGCTTTCTTCTCAAAGAATTACTTATGGGTGTAGTACATTTTCTTGAGAGAGTTAGAAAGCAACTAACACTGTTCCTGTATAACTGCTGAACATGAGCAAATGAGTGGGGGTACTAATCAAGGTTAGTCTTGATCACCTTTATCTATTTGCTTATTTAGTTTGTTCATTTGTTAATTTCCCACCTTTCTATCAGGAGGTCAAGGTGAAATACATACCACTTTGACCTCCCATTTTTCTCCAAAACAACTAGTCTGTCAGACTCTTTAAACTAAGAGACATGAATACACATGTGAGAGTCGTTACATGCATACATTTGTTGAGGGAAAAATATACTTCAGGAATGGTTTGAACAAGACTTGGACATGAAAAGGCTGGAATGTTCCAGAATACATTGGAACAATTTATTGTTTTCTAGATTACATTAATCCAGGGGATGATTTAGCAGTTTTTAGAAAGTTGATCTTCTGAAACAGAATATGTTTGTGATACACCTGGCCATCTTAAATTCAGGTTCATTTTTCTTTTATGTAAATATGGAGTTTTCTTTTGTGCTAGAAAAATCAGCTAAATAAGAGAATGAAGCCTCTTGAGGTACCCAAAATTTGCTATGAATAAGATAAGTAAGAAGGAGCATGCTCAGTTCTATTTACTCAGAAGTTCAGCTCATCATGAAGAGATTATTAACAATGAAATGGGTACCTAAGGATATGTCTAGAACTATTATTTTTTGCTGACTTTCTTAAAGATTTGCTAGAAGCGTGTTTTAAAGCTAATGAAGATATCTGGAATTTTTTAATGCTGTTACAATTTTGTGTTGGAGAACTAGGAGTGTGCATTTTTAACTTCTTACTGTGTAAGAATGTTATGAGTAAGCAGCCAAGTATCTTCTTTTATTCCTCTTTTTATTTTTGTTTTCTCTTTCCCAATTGGAGGAAATTGGGAAGAACAAAGCTCTTCGCTTCCCTTCCCTTTCCTTCTCCACGTCCTCTCTTCTCCCCTATCTCCATGAAAGTAGAAAACTCAGAGCATACTTTTTATTTAAGCATGCATGTTCTTTTGAATCTGAAGCATCTCTTTCTGGATTGTTTTAACAGGCTTGATTCTATTCACATGCACATATTCTACTAAATATAGACTCACTGAGCTGGGGAAACTCAAGAATTTCCCCTACACTTTGTTGCGTAACAGTTATCATTTATACACTATTAAGTGCCGTGCTACTGAGAATGGTTCTGAAAAGACCATTCCAGCATTCTGCTCATATCCTTAGAAATATTTTTTCTCAGTGTTTTCTCTCTAATTTCATGCCAAGCCAGTAATAAGTTATTGAGATAATTGATCTACTTTCAAATTAAGTAGAAAGGAATCATATAGAAATGGTGATTAATTTATTTTCTCTTCGCAAAATTCATTCTAGCTTCTTTGTAGAAGAAAATAATATTTATATTTATCCTATTTTGAAACGATGAATTTCAATGCAAGTATTTTTGCTTGTTTGCTTGCTTTCATTATGATTCAGTGTGATCTATATTGATTTCATAAGTACTCTTTGTTTTTTGCATTTGTATCTGTTATCCAGGCTGGTATACTAAAGTAAAAGAAAGTTGTGAGGTTTTATGTCACCTTTTCTGATATGTATCTATTTAGGATGGTCACTTTCAATTTGAGTAGCATTTGAGCATGCAGTGGGTAACTTAGTTGAGCATTGGACTCAGTGCTTCTCTTTTATCCTTCTGAAATCTGTACTCCTTCAAATGTATTAAATATACTGTCTTTCCATTTCTTTCCCCTTTTGTGGTTGCCTTTGATTTTTTTTAAGGGGGGGCTCCATGTTTTATCTGATCACCTTAAACTTCCTTGTCAATTTCCGTGACCTAGTAGGGGGGGAAAAAGAGACTCATGTTATTTGAATGATAAGGAAAAGCATATTAATTAGAAGCTGTTTAGTATTTGTCAGATCATTTCTTTCTTACTCTGTCTTTTCAGAGTCTTCTTGTCTTCAGCTTTCTTCTTTTGACCGTGCTTGGATTTGATATTCTCCTAAAATATCATTTGGTTTAATTCAGTCATAGCTTTGTTTCAATGAAAAATTAGCATATGGTAACTCTGCATATGCAAAACATAGCATATGCAAAACACAGCATATGCAACTTTGTAGGCAAATATAAAAATTAAGATATAAATGGGCTGTCAAGCTATATTCCTAAAATATAGAATTTGTCATTTTATGGCAAATTGGTTTTATGAAGCCTGGGGCTTGGCAAGGAGGATAATCTTATGCAAATGGAAATAAATATATTTTCCTGATGAATTCAGATATGAGCCTTATCTATTTTGAAAAGATCTCCATATGATCCAGGCTGAATAATAAGCTTGAGGATTGGATTTATTCTATATTGATACTAAATGAAAATTATATCAGTATTTCTTCTTCTGTACTTAATCACCTCCATGTACATTTTTTTTTCATTACAAACCACAGCATTTTTATCGGCATTGTAATTGCTTGTATTCTACTGTTACTAATAATTAAATAATTAAAACAAATGAAAGTAAAATAGATGACTTATGTAAAATTATAAGAAAGAATGTAATAGATTTGATTGAAGGTGGATTAATCTTGTTGAGTCGAATGTGGAAAAGTGAAACTAAGTTTATTAATGAAAGTGCTGTTGTGAATGCTCATGAAAGTAGGTATCTGGAGTAATCTTGAACTGAGTGGTGTGATTTGATTTGGTGAATGTTACATTCATATCACAAAGGAAGAACCAAGCTTAAATTTGCCAAATATGCAAAATTCTATTGAATGTGATTCTGGAGAAAAATGACTTGGTTAGATGACTTGAATGAATGGATGGTAATGAGATGAATATTGGGACTGTTCAGAGTTGCAAAATTGAATGAGAAAATGATGATTGTTTACCACATACTTGCTTAGAAATATCTGTTTGTTTTGAATTTAGGGTTTATGTTTTAATCTGTTCACATGTACACATGGAAAAGGAAGGAATATAAATCAAAAAGCTTTACTGATTTGTTTATGATGAGAGATTGAAAGAGTTAGTGAACAATATCATGATGATGAGAGATCCTAAATGTGACATGGAATGTTCTTGACAGTTTTTGATTGCTTTTTGGAAAAAAATAGAGGCACAGAAAGAAGGGAAAATGTAAAGGAAATCAGAATAGAAATAGAGAAAGTGGAAGAAGAATCATAAAACTGTAGAGCTGGAAGGAGCATAAGGATCAAATATGATGATTCTGTATGAAAAGTATTGGAAAATAGATTAGTGTTGTAACAGAAAGAATGAGAAGTGTACATAAAGAAATTTGATGTGGAAGCTGCTTGGAATGGAATGGAAAGAGATATTAACAAATGTATAGATGGATGTGGAAGAATTAAAATGGGAAGTATGAATAAAGCTGTTCATTCCTCGTATTACATTACTAATTTGTATTGATAGATTTGGGTGATCTATTGAGATCTATTTCAGTTGCATGTTTCTACGATGATCTGATTCTCTTAAATCAAAATTGCCTCCTCATTTTGCAGCAGGCAAGATTGTGAAAAAGAGATGCATGTTTACTATATAATGTTGGTGGATAAAGTTCTGTTTCTGATGTTACATAGTTTCTTCCTTAAAAAATCTGGATTGTGTGTGTTTGAACATATTTATTTATTTATTTGTATTCCAACTTTATTATTTTTACAAATAACTCAAGGCGGTGAACATATCCAACACTTTCTTCCTTCTATTTTCCTCACAACAACACTGTGAGGTGAGTTGGACTGACATAACCATTGAACTATAACATACATTATTACATACAATACATACATACAATATTACATATGTCACAGTATGCTAAATTAGAATTATTCCCCTATGTGATTTTTCACTGTTGCCTTGCCTTCTCCCCATAGATTTTGATTGCCTTTCCAAATTTGATCTCTATAAAAGACATCACACTCTTGCAGCGTATAATTCTGATATGAAATCTTTTCAGTGTAATAACCAAATGCTTATATTTTTAATTAATATTAGTTGTTAGTGAGATTGTTTAGTGTTTTATTTTTAATGCTCTCTGTTATTATTATTAGGAGTTCTGGAAGAAGCAGAATTCTACAACATTGGGTCTCTAATCAGACTAATAAAAGACAGACTGGAGGAAAAGGATTACACCATAACCCAGGTGTGTTGGGAAATGTCAGAATTATATTTAAGAGAAATTGAAAACAAAAGTGCCCAGAATATTAACTTTCATTTTTCAAAAAAATTGAACAAGGATAAATGTTACAAGATTGGGAATAAACAAGCCAGCATTTAATTGTTAAAGCAGGGACTGTTTTAATTCAGCTAATTTTGGGGTATTTATTATTCAGTGTTAATAAGGTGTTAATTATGCAATTGGAAAGAATGAAATAATGATTCCTGAAAATTCAGTCTGTATTTTTTGGGAGAAAGATCATATATGAGAGCAGTGAAAAGGCAGTACTCTTAGCACTTGGTCTTTGATTGTTGCTATGAGAGACATGAGAAGCTGGAAAACTTCCTAGGATTTCACATATTAAGCTACTTGTCCATATATCTCCTATTCTGACTGACGGCAATTCTCATACTATACTGCAGCTTTTCCCAACCAGGTGCCTTCCAGATGTGTTGGCACAATATCAGTTTCAGCCTCAAATGATCAAAGAAATATGGGCTGGGAATTCTGGGAACTGAAATCCCAACCCATCTGGAGGTTGCTGAAATGAGGAAATCTGTACTTCTAGATCTCTCTTAACTGAAGATAACGTCTAAACCTTTGAGACAGATTGCTCTTTTTATTCTCATATATCTCATGTGTGGCTTTGCTCTGAGTCTCCATGTGAGAATAGTGCAAAACGTTTCATTTCAAGGCATGAAATTTTCAGGCCTGAAATTTCATGTCCCTCTCTTCCTTCCAAGTTCAGAACTGCTCACTCCTTTTGCTTTATAATGAATGACATCATTCCTACACCAGCATTACTTATTTCGGTTGCCAGAAAACTCTGGATTCTTAGCTCTTAGCCCAGCCCTGCCAGAAGATGTTCACTTGTTTAGCTAAAGCTCTTCTCCTTGCTCATCTAAAACTTTTCAGTCTAATGCATATATACAGATGTTCCAACAACTAGCAGTTGCTTCTGTCTTTTCTATAGCATAGACTTCTTTCCACTAGGAGGCAGAATTGAGGATGAGAAGCCCCTGTCTGGCTTTGTTTATTAGTAGAAAATCTGGACAAGTAGACAGGAAAGCCCTTGCTGATATGGTCTGTTGTTCCTTGACCTGCTTCTTCTAGGTGCCACCAAAGCATGTCTACAGAGTGCTGCAGTGTCAGGAGGAAGAGCTCACACAGATGGTTTCTACAATGTCAGATGGGTGGCGCTTTGAACAGGTATGCAAGATAATTTCATTTATTTATTAAATTTATTAAAAGATGAGTACAGGTTTCCCAGTGTTGAATTTGATAGTGATTTCAGAATCTTCAGTTTTTTTTAAATAGAATATACAGTCATTTTTTAAACAGAATATGCTTCACATGTGCATCTCTCTGGCTCTTATAAGTAATTCACGAACCAGATTCAAAGAAGGAAGAAACATACCGACCTAATAAACTTTATTAGTCATTTTCCCCCGCTTCTGACTGCATGCCTGGGAATAAGTTTCGGTAAACTTTATGGTGCTTACTTTTTAATAGACATGTGTTGTGCAAGACATTTCATGCAATCTTATGCCTGATTATCAGTATGTCCCACTGTTTTCAGTGCTTTTTAATGAATATAGGTAAGATTGTAGGCATAAATTGTGAATTGACAATACTCCCAATTCTTAGACTATATAAGCTTAAGATTTATAAATTTTTCAGATCCTAGAACATTCCAAACTTAATTGGAGATTGAGGGGAAATATTCCTTAACTCTTTCTATGTCATGATAAAAATCTTTTGGCAGATTGAATCTTTCTGGCTCTATTGAAAAACACGGTAAATTTCTTTTATATCTTGTCATATAAAAACCACTGTGAAGGACAAATGCACTAACATTAAGTCTTCTGCACTAATCCTAACATTTGCCCTCTTCAGACCTTGTGTTCCTTTTCAGACTAGAAGTGTTCCCATTTTTGCATCATTTGGCATAACAAGCATTCATTCATCTCTTTCTATAGCTGGTGAATATTGGATCATCCTATAACTATGGGAATGAGGATCAATCGGAATTCCTGTGTGTTGTCTCGAAGGAACTGTGCAGCTCACCCAGTGGCCTCTATTCTGAGTCCAGCCGGAAAGTCAAGGTTAGGGAATCCTTAAAATCCTGAAATTTAAATGACTTACTTTCTCAACTATCTTTTCAGCTATCAAATGGCAAACTTGTTAATACTTGCTCTTTGCTGTTCCCTATCATGTCCAATCTAGTTTTAGAAATGTTTATTTTTAAGCCAATGATCCATGTTTTTCTCCCTTTTAAAAATATTTCTGAGAAAGTGGGCCCGACACTCAAAGGAGGGGTGGGGGAACCTCACGCCGGACCGCCGCCTCCCCTTCCACCATCTCGCCGGCCGGGACCACAGTCAGGACTCACCACAGCCTGCCTTGTCGCCGCCTGGAATGGGTCCGGGTCTGGGGGGCCGTCAGTTGACGGGCGCAGGTGTTCAGCGCCGCCGCAGCCTCCCGGCCACCCTCTTCGCCAGCGGGAGCCGCTGCCAGGACTGCCGGGACCACCGGCAGCTGGGAGCGTATCCGCTGACGTCAGAGATGTTGCCGGGACGCTGCCAGCTGTCCAGCGCCTTGGCGTGTTGATGAGGGGAATCCCCGCGGCAGCTGTGAAGAGGGGACTCCCCACAGGCCATGGCGCGAGGCAAGGACGGGCGGCGCAGTGCCGTGGGAAGCGGCGGAACAAGGGGAGGGGCTACCTGGTTCCTGGCAATTCGGACGCTGGAAGCCTGCCTGGGACCTGCTCCAGCAAGCCATCTGATGCATGGCGAGGAAAGGAAGCAATGTCCCGACTGGCCTTTTATGAGCTCTGCACGCCGGATGCTGGCTTGCAGACTGGGGGTGGGGGTGGGGCTCCAACACGGAGAGGCTATGTAAAGTGCTAGGAGCAGTTCACTCCCAGCGCTAACTTTCTCCAGTATGAAATAAATAATCTGTCACCCGTACCTTGCCTGCTGCTTTTTCTTGAGGACAGAGAAGGACGTCTTGACAGTAAGTTAGTGCTCCACTTTTTTGTTCACCTTTTCCAATTCCTGTGCTGGTTAGGAAATGACAGAGGGAACGCAAGGGGCTGCCCCGTCGGCAGAGAAGGGCGAGCCAGCCGGAGCTGTGGCACCAACGCATACTGCAGAGCCAGGGGATGCCCAGCCATCGGTGACGCCCAAGGAGCGGGACCCACTGCCTGCAGCCACGGTGAGTGAATCCCAGGAGGCAGGGGTCCCGGCACCTTCAGGGGAACGGTGGCTTAGCCCTGCGCTTGCCCACCCGGACCCTGGCCAGATACCCACACCGGGTGCCGGGGGACCTCTAATGGAATGGAGGGAGAGGCGACTCACAGAGGAGGACGAGGTGGAGTGGAGTTATTTCATGGCGCCCGGAAGACAGACGATGGACATCCTCCGGGATCGGTTCGGCGAGATGGGGTACATGGACCCTCCTTCATGGCCACGAGTGGAGGCTGGCCATGGGACGGCACCTTGGTCTCGAGTTGAGACGCAGCCTGCTTCGTCGGAACCATCGCAATTTCATCTAGCCAGCCCGAGGTTCCAGGTTTCTCCTGGCACTGGTACTTCTCAGGTGGGGGCCCCTGTTCTGGGCGTCCCGACAGCTCAGTCACGGCCTAGACAGGAGGGAAGGTCATTGGCAGATCCTCATGGAGTGCCCACAAGGCAGACAGCAAGGTTGTCTGGGGCTCTGGACTGGCAGATGGCAGGCCCCGGTGACCACCGGTTCTCCCCTATGGACGAAGGCCTCCGGGGAGCAGGGCCGCCTCTGGGGACATGGGGTCCAGGGTTGGCTTGGGGTCCGCCGCCAATACCGGTGACTTTTGACGGGAACCCAGACCTCCTGGCAATGTTCCTTAGCCACGTCATCAGCCACCTGGACCGTTACGCCCGGTTCTATTCATCCCAATGGGCGATGGTGGTGGCGGTGACAGCTAGCCTGCAGGACGAGGCAGCGGCATGGGCAGCGGACCTCTATAGTGACCATGCGAGGGAGCTGGCCGACGCCGGCTTGTTCCTGGAAGCACTACGGTCCAGATTCAAGGACATCTCCCGGGTCCAGCGGGCCGAGGCGGAGGTACTGGCGTTGAAACAGCAGGGCCGGTCCGCCATGGAATACGTCCGGGACTTCCGACGGGTGGCCGGGAGACTACGGTCATGGCCGGAACGTCTCCTGGTTCATCACTTTCAAGCAGGCCTGGACCGAGATTTACGCCAGGCATGTGTCTTCAGGGGTGTTCCGAACCAGCTCCAAAAATGGTTCCGGGTAGTGGTCGAACTGGACACGGGACTGCAGGAGTTCCGGAGGAAGGGGGAGGACTCACTCGCGCCCCGGAAGGTAGCAGAGAAACCCAGAGACGACGGCCGTAGGACCCAAGCTCCAGTACCATGGTCCACCAGTCTGCCTTCTAGGCCGGCGTTCTGGTGTTTTCGGTGCAACCAACGAGGGCATCGGGCAGCAAAGTGTCCAGTTCCCATGCCGCAAAGTAACCCATCGACTCCCAGGAAAGCCGGTCTTACAACCAAGAAGACCACAGAACGTTCGCAGGCAGTGCAGCAACCGGAAGGGGATGCCCCCCGACGGCCGCCTCTGATGGGGGAAGAGGCAACATCCGCCACCAGGTACCAGATGGTGGCTTATGACAGTGCGGACGACTCGGCCGAGGATCCCATGGTAAGTGAGCCAGTATGTCCCTTCGCCATCCCTATCACCCTAATAAGCCCACAAACAGGTCATAGGGGGGAGTACAGGGCCCTAATTGACTCCGGTTGTACCCGCTGCCTCATCAGTAAGGATGTGGTAACCAAAGTCGGAATCCGGGTGAGACGGTTGGCTAACCCGATCCAATTCGAGCAGGTGGACAGGTCCCTTCAAGGGGGGGCTCCGGCCACTCTCATAACAGAACCTGTGAGGAGGGAGATGGGGCCATTGGGAGGTCTTCCGGTTCATTGTGGTCCCCTCCATGACTGAGGCAGTGATCCTGGGGCTTGCATGGTTGGATAAGTGGGGCTCAACAATTTGGTGGGAGGGCGGTTATTGAAACCTATGCCTGGGAGTTGGTCTCCGGCCACCAACCCTGGACCCCAAGGAGGTGGAGGGAGGCAGCAGAGGGGCAAAAGCGACCCAGGCCGGCACAGGGCAGGCGAACAGCTTTCCGGCTATGTATGCTGGCCTCATCGAGGTCTTTGGCGAACGTGAGTGCGACATCCTGCCACCCACCGACCAACCGACTACGCTATTGACATCATGCCGGGAGCAAAACTGCCTAAGCCGTGTATGTATGCGATGACACCCCGGGAGATGGAGGAATTACGTCACTACATCGACTGGAACCTGGCCAGGGGTTTCATCCAGCCAGCCCGCTCCCGGATCGCGGCGCCGGTCCTGTTCAAGGAGAAGGATGGTTCCCTCCGGTTGTGTGTGGACTTCCGCGGCATCAATGGGGTGTGTGTTGAACATATGTACCCCTTTCCATTGATGAAGGACCTCCTGGCCCATCTGGCACAGGGCAAGATATTCAACAAGCTGGACCTGCGCGAAGCATACTATCGGGTCCACATCAAGCCAAGGGACAAATGGAAGACAACCTTCAACTGCCCACTTGGTAGTTACCAGTTTCGGGTCATGCCTTTCAGATTGCAGGGAGCCCCCGTGGTATTCATGCAACTCATTAATGAAGTGTTGCATGAATACTTGTACTGCGGGGTGCTTGTATATCTGGATGATATTCTCATCTATACCACCACCATGGAGGACTATGTCAGGTTGGTGAGGCAGGTGTTGGAGAAACTGTTGAGGGCCCAGCTATTTGTGATATTGTCCAAGTGCGAGTTCCATCAATCCCGACTGGACTACCTGGGATATCGGATATCAGGGGCAGGGGTGGAAATGGACCCTGGTAAGGTCAAGAGCGTTCTGGAGTGGCAGGCACCAAGAACCTGCCGCCAACTACAGAGCTTCTTGGGGTTTGCCAATTTTTATAGACAATTCATCCCCTCATTTGCTGCGGTGGCATTGCCCCTGATAGACCTGCTACCCACCCGACAGGCCATGATAAAGTCATGCCTCAGTCAGCCGTTGGCATGGACAATGGCGTGTCAGAAATCCTTTGAGACTCTGAAGGCTCTGTTCGTGAGGGAGCCGGTTCTGCTCCACCTAGACCCTGACAGGCTATTTGTGGTACAGGCTGGTGCCAGTGACGTTGCAGTAGGGGCGGTTTTACTCCAGAGGAACAGTCAGGGATCCCTGCAACCCTGTGCCTATACGTCACGGAAACTGACAGAGACCGAACGGGCGTGGGCCATCTGGGAGAAGGAGGCGTTTGCTGTACGGTGGGTGCTCTCAACATGGCGGCACCTCCTCGAGGGGGCGAAGGAACCGTTTGAGGTCTGGACAAACCATAAGAACCTGGAAATACTGCAGGCCCCAAGACGCCTGTCCCCTAAACACGTCCGATGGGCACACTATTTCAGGTGGTTCCGGTTCCAGTTAAAGTACGTACCGGAGGGGGTGGAATTTCCTGGCCGACGCCTTGTCGAGATTGCCTCAATATAATAGCAAACGGGAGGAGGTGCAGGTGATTGTCCCCTTACCACCAGGCCGCGACGAGGGTGGTACCCCGTACGGTGGCAAGTGGCCTGGGGCACGAGCTAAGGACAGCACTCCAGGATGACCCCTGGTTACAGGACAATCCAGATCTGCTAACAAAATGGGACGGTCTGGCTTGGCGTGGTGATAAGCTCTACATTCCGCAAGCACTGAGGCAGTGGGTGCTCCAACGTTGCCACAACACGAAACAGGCAGGTCACTTCGGGTTTCTCAAGACCCTACATTTGGCAAGGCATCAATTCTCATGGCCCGGAATGAAAGCGGACATAGAGACCTACGTCCGGGGGTGCCACATCTGTGCTACCGCAAAGCCCCGTACAGGGAAGCTCCTGGAATTACTGCAACCGGTGGCGGTCCCAACCAGACCCTGGGAGGACATCGCGATGGATTTCATCGTCGAGTTGCCTGAGAGCCGTGGCTACACAGTGATTTGGACTGTTGTGGACCTTTTCTCCAAGCAGGCGCACTTCATTCCGTGTAAGGGATTGCCGTCTGCTTGGAGGCTGGCCAGGCTGTTCATTACACACGTTTACCGCCTGCACGGAGTACCCCGACGAATGATTTCGGATCAGGGGGTGCAGTTCATGGCTCGCTTCTGGTGCGAGTTCATCCGATTCATCGGATCGTCCCAGGGTCTCAGCTCGGCGTACCATCCGAGCACCAACGGGGCAGCAGAACAGGCAAATGCCATGGTGGAGCGCTGTCTGCGAAGCTATGTGTCCCACCAGCAAACGGACTGGGTAGACCTGGTGGCGTTTGTAGAGAAGGCCTATAATAATGTGGTGCATAGTAGCACCGGGCTTACTCCCTTCTGGGTGGTGCATGGCAGAGACTTTATCCCCATACCTGAGTACAACCAAGGAGATCCCTTGCCCTTTAAACCTAGGGAGTGGATGGTGCACCTGGGGTGTGTGTGGAGGGCGGTTAAGGAGGCCCTGGTGAAAGCCAGGGAAGCCACTAAGGTGCAGGCTGATAAAAAACAGAAGCCCCAGAAACCGTTCCAGGTGGGCGACCTGATTTACCTGTCTACAAAGTATCTCCGGCTACGGGTTCCTTGTAGGAAACTGGTGCCGAAGTTTCTAGGTCCCTTCCGGGTCGTTCAGATCATTAACCCGGTGGCTGTCCGACTACACCTACCCAGGTTTCTGGGAAAAATATGCCCTTATAGAGGCATCGTGGGTGAGGGAGGCAGATGTCTATGCCCCCCACTTGGTGCAAGCCTTCCATCGCTGGTGCCCTAGGAAGCCGGGTGGTGGGGATTGGCCGATCCGTCCGTTGGGGCGGACGACCACTCATGCGAGTCTTCTTTCCTTTCAGGTGGAGCCCTGGTAGAGGGAGCCGCCTGTTGAGCCCCATGGGCCTGACACTCAAAGGAGGGGGGGAACCTCACGCCGGACCGTCGCCTCCCCTTCCACCATCTCGCCAGCCGGGACTGCCAGGACTCATCATGGCCTGCCTTGCCGCCGCCTGGACTGGGTCTGGGTCCGGGGGGGCGCCAGCTGAGGGACGCAGGAGTTTGGTGCCGCTGCAACCTCCTGGCCACCCTCTTCACCGGTGGGAGCTGCTGCCGGGACGCTGCCAGTTGTCCGGTGCCTCGGCACATTGACGAGGAGAATACTCCCGGCGGCTGTGAAGAGGGGACTCCCCACAGGCCATGGTGCGAGGCAAGGACAGGCGGCACAGTGCCGTGGGAAGCGGCGGAACAAGGGGAGGGGCTACCTGGTTCCTGGCAATTTGGACGCTGGAAGCCTGCCTGGGACCTGCTCCAGTGAGCCATCCGATGCATGGCGAGGAAAGAAAGCGATTTCCCGACTGGCTGCTTATGAGCTCTGCATGCCGGATGCTGGCTTGCAGACTGGGGGGTGGGGCTGCAACACGGAGAGGCTATGTAAAGCGCTGGGAGCAGTTCACTCCCAGCGCTAACTTTCTCCAGTATGAAATAAATCATCTGTCACCTGTACCTTGCCTGCTGCTTTTTCTTGAGTACAGAGAAGGATGTCTTGACAATATTGCACTCTTTTTACAAGGAGAGATGGAGCAGAATTACATTTTCATACCTATTTCCTTTCATAGATATGATATTCCAAAATTCAAATAAATTTGTAGTTCCTCAGAACTGCAAGCATTTTGTTTAATTCTACATGGTATTGTCCTGCTTGGTTTTCTGTTAACTGAGATTCCAGAGTGAAGGATTTTCTGAAGTGAGGTGATTAGTCCCAAGTTCTTCATTGACGAAATATTAGCCACATGTGTTTTAAGTATTTACAGTGCTTCATGTGCATGATCTAGTTCAGCAAAGGTAACAGGAGGCTTTTGAGAGATACTGTGCCCACCAGGCTCCCTATTTCATCTCGCTTTTTAAAATATTTTTTTGATTAAAAAAATAAAACAGGAGGAAGATGAAATATTGCAGAAAAAAGCACAGATATTTTCAGGAATGCATTTGGATCTCGCAAAAGATTATAGGAGGCATCTTGTGGAAATGATACTTTGCCTTCTGTTAGGCGGATGTTTTATGATTGCTGGTGTCCATTATAGCAGCCATTTTGTGAACAGGAATATCTTCCCTGACAGCCATTTTTCCACAAAATAATTTTGAAATTCCAAGTGTGCTTTCCCAAAAGGTTGCTTATCCCTGATCTAACTGTAACTTTTATAAATAATACTGTAAGATAAACTTACATCATTGCTGCTTCTTTTAGCTGGGCTGACTGACATGAGAGCTGAAATGCAACCCAAAGCTAGTTGATGGCAAATGTTAGATATGATCTGAGGGATAGATGGGGAACTCATCAAATTTGCAGACGACATGAAGCTGGCAGGAATAGCCAATATTCCAGGAGATAGGTTTAAGATACAGAAGGATCTTGAACACTGGGCCCTATCTAACAAAATGAAATTCATTGGTGAAAAAAGTAAGGATCTACATTTAGGCAAGAAAAAACAAATGCACAGGTACAGTATAGATGGTACCTGGCTCAATAGTAGTAATTGTGAGAGGGATCTTGTAATCCTAGTGGACAATGACTTAAATATGAGCCAGCAGTGTGCTGCAGCTGCCAAAAAAAGCTCATGCAGTCCTAGGTTGCATTAACAGGGATAGAATCAAGATCACGTGAAGTGTTGATACCACTTTACAATGCCTTGGTAAGGCCACACTTGGAATACTGCATCCAGTTTTGGTTGCCACAATGTAAAAAAGATGTTGAGACTCTAGAAAGAGTGCAGAGAAGAGCAACAAAGATGATTAGGGGACAGCAGGCTAAAACGAGAGAAGCAACTTAGAATTAAATTAGAACAATTAATCAGTGGAACAACTTCCCTCCAGAAGTTGTGAATGCTCCAACACTGGAGGTTTTTAAGAAGAGATTGGACAACCATTTGCCTGAGCAGGGAGTTGGACTAGAAGATCTCCAAGATCCCTTCCAACTCTGTTATTCTGGTTTATTTCTTAGTCTTAAAATTATCCTCTCAGCCTTTGAGCTATCCCAGTTAATTAAACCCAGAGCTGAAGTTCTGTTCCAGAGCCTTTACAGAAGAAGTGGAATCATCCGTCCCTTATTGGTGATATTCCTATTTCTGTTGTTCTTTCCTTAGGTGCCGCCTGTTGCAACACAGAATCCTGAGGAAGACCCAGAACAAGAACAGCAGAATGATGAGTTGCAGCTGCAAGAAGTTGAGAGGCAGGAGGAGGCACCAGTGCAAGCAGAAGGTGGAGGAGCTTCAAAAGAGGGTGCATGGAGTGCCTGTGTGGGCATCAAGCAATATACAGAAGCCTAAGGCTGGTGAGAGGTGGGGGAAAACTGTGCATTTGGCAGCTGTTGCACTTTGGTCTAAACTGTTTGTTTTAATACTAAATTTGTAGCAAACTCCAGCAACCCAAGATTTCACTGATTCTCTTTCTTCGTGTGACCTTTTAGAGGCCTTTTACTTTCTGCTCTTTCCATTTTACACTCCGTCCCCTTTTCTTGTTATTTTTTTTTCTTTGATCCTCCTTTTCCTCCATGAGCCAAGAATCCTGCATTGTAACCTAGTTTAGACTTTTCCCTTTGGGCCTCTCTTTCCCATTCTGTTTTGATAAAAGACAACACATCATCTGCACCATCACACCTTTTATCTGTGACTCACCCAGCACCTTCCTTTTTCTTGGACTCTTTTTGCTAAGGTATAGGTATCTGGACTGAGACCATTTTGAATTTGTCTTCCAAAATAAGCCTCATGATTCTGAGAAATGGAGTATCACAGTAGAAGATTAAAGGCAAGAGAAAAGGGGCTGTTAACTGACTTCTAAACATACAAAGCAGCCTTTAAAAAAATGAAATGGAGAGTGACCATTCTGACTTGGCTGTAGCTTTTCTTATGAGTAGTACTTTTCTACCTCTGTTCTTTGAGATATCATTAACTGGACAAGTCAGAGATTGAATTTGGTTGTCTCTGCATGCCAATTATGTGCTATGCTTTTGGCAGCTACTCATCCTTCCATCTCCCTTCTATTCTTACTTATATTGTGATCTAAAACAAAAACCAAAGCTTCATATTGCAAAAAAATCACCCTGTCTTTGCTGAGGGCAAATTTTGCAATCGGCATCTTCTATCTTTGTTACTCAATTGTATCAAGAGATCTCCTTTTTCTTGCCAATCTTCCTTTTATATGGAACCAGAATGATCCGTAATGTGATATCTCCTTCCTGGATTTGGGAAGGGTTTTGATATTGCTTCTGCTGGGAAGAATGTCTCCTTTCCTACTTGAGTCCTGCCTGCTTCGGAGAGTACATTGCCTGTCAGCTCTATTATGTATTCCCTCTACTTTGGCTGTTTTTCAGCTCTAGATTTTTGTTTTTCCTTTAGCCCTTTCCTTCTCTTTTCTCTTTGTTCCTATAAACGCAACAGACCTTCTGCCATGGTCATCAATAGCAGTTTATTGTTTGTGGAAGTATCTCCCCAATGGCTGGGGTCAAACCAGTGCTGGTCTCCAGTGGCACATCAGTTCATCATTTTGTTTCCCCTCCCAAGATGTCTCCTGAGTCAGTGACCACAACCTGTGCAGCCCTTGTTGCCTCCCTGGGTTGGACCCCATACAATAACCACATGCATTGGGGCAAATTGGGGGACAAAAGAGCAGGATACTGCATTTTGGGGTTTCCTGACTGGATCCAAAAATGGAAATAGGCAAAAGATATAACTCTTCTTCTCTTCCCCTTCTAGATCTTAATAGGGGGAAAGCCAGACAATCAAATGAGAAAGGGGTGCCCAATTCCCCCCCCCCCCATACAAAGTACTCAGGTATCTCCCCTCAAGACCGGTAGATGGGAAAAAGAGTGAGTTGTCTCTGGATGAAGAAGAACAACAGTCATTCCCCAAATCCATCAGGTGCTTCCAAAAAATCAGATTTTCCTGAGTATTTCAGGAAAGTTTGTAAACTTCTTGGTCTCAGGAAGCCAGAACCTGTCACTCCCTCATATTCCAAGACATTCAGTGATGTTCTTGAAGTAGAAAAGGTATGTGAGGGCTGGCTCTCCATGGTCTTGAAACCTCATACTTCCCTTGAGACTGCCCTAGAATGTCTCATACCTCTACAGTGAATGTTCCTGTGGCAGAAGTTGCATTTCATTTCACAAACATGTGAAAGATGCACCCACAAATTCCCAAAGACAGGAAAACAGAGATGCCCTCAACACAAAGCAAATATGTTCCCAGTTATAAGAACCAGCCTCTTGTGGGGGAAAAGACAGAATTTGCTTCTTCCTCTCTTAGGATATTTGTGGGTACACTCATCCCATAAGGCAATAGTACACAATACAACAAATATGTAAGCTTATTGAATAAAAGCTTGAATATAGTTGTTCATTTCATATATTTCTCAATTCTTCCACAGCTAAATAGAGGTACACATTACTGATCAACCCAATTTCCCCAAATAATATAAGCAGAAATGTTATCTAAATAAATTATTAGTTACTAAAAGTTGTTTGAAGGTCCTTGACTGGATTTCCAAGAGCGGAAAAGACAGTGGGAGAAGTATGAGGGAAAAGTATCAAACCAAATATAATAAATTAGCTCTTACCTGCACTCTTTCCACACATTCCCAGAGAGTTCTCCTTCATCTCCTGTTTTATAGCCTAAAAGTATTGGACCTTGATCAGCTACTTTTCATCAATCTTATTATAAATCTTGTTACAATTTGGAAATTGTAGAAACTATTTGAGCAGTTCTTAATTGTGGAAGATATTCTTTTTTATTTTTTATCCTGTCTTGTATTATTATTATTATTATAAATAACTCAAAGCAGCAAATATAACTAATACTCCTTACTCATTGTAGTTTCCGAACAATAATCTTGTGAGTTGGGCTGAGAGAGAGAGAGACTGGCCAAAATCACCCAGTCACTTTTATGTCCAAGGTAGAACTAGAACTTACAGTTTCCCGGTTTCTAGCCTGGGTGCCTTAGCTGCTAGGCCAAACTGGCTCTCTAGTACTTTACAAGTGGCATTTCTTGGTACTTTTAATCTTTTCATCATTCTTTGATATTCATTGCTTTAGTGTACTCAGTCATACTATTGAATTTCCATGCATCTAGGTTTTGGATGGATTGTATATACTTTATTAAACTAAATATTTATTATATAGTTTATTAAGCTTATTACCCGTTATGATTATTAGAAGAGGCCGTTTGCTGGTCATACATTCTACAAAATGTATACATTCAACTGAAATAGCAATTGCCTATGGATCAACTAGCTTAAATCACTTTTCAGTACACCTTTACTACCTCAGTCATGGCCAAGGCTTCTACTCTATGATGCAAATAGAAAACTGGATCCAAATTATCTCAAGAAATCAGACTGGGAAAAGAAGATGCTCATACAAATTATGAACAACTAGCTAAGGCTGATGCTGCTTTCATGGTGGATTCTTAGCCAGAGGTAAGGCAGTTAGTGTTGCCTCAAGGAAGTAATGGTGGCTGACAAATAGGAAGGTAACCCTAAACTCAAATTGGGCCTAATATTGGGTGTGTATATATGGTAACTTTGGTCAGTCAGAGGTAAGGACACACCCTAGCAAAAAAGAGTTCTTCATCAACACTCTGTTCCTGGACCCTTAGCTTTATGACCACTTTTTGCTAGAAATAAATTGTAATCTTTTTCTTCTGCCCCAATTCCAAGATTTAATTAAAAAGGATTAGCACATACTGGACATTGGATGACCAGTCAAGATCTACCTGAGCAAAATAGAGAAATTCAAACTCTTTTTCTTTGGAAGATTTCTCAGAACTATAAAGCCACATTGTTCATGATCACCAGATGGATCAAAACTTGCATCAGACATTCCCATGAGACCTAGAACAAGGCTGCCCTATAGGGAATTGTAGCCCACTCACCTAGAAATATGGTCTCTTTGACAGCCCTTAATAGTAGTGCCCACTTGTGAGACATATGTGGAGTTTCCATGTAGAACTCTGTGTCTTTCTTTGTGAAACTGTAAACCTCACTTGTGTCTCTTGGCGAAAAGCATTATAAAAATTACAGAAGATACCTCATAACAAGAACTAGGATTCCATCTTCAGAGACAGCAGTGGTATATTTCATGGTAGGAAAACTGTATAATGAACTTACTGTGAATGTTTTTTTTTTACAATGGGGATAGAACATTCAACCCATCCTGATACATTAGAAAGAGAAAATATTTGCCCACAAAGATCTATAGTCTAACGTATACACTGTTTATGCACTTCTTAGGTTTTCTTTTCTTCCTTTGTGATCTGGAATATCAGTCCAAAACTGGGATGGAGAAAACAATGTCAGATATTTTATAGCTTTGCCTATGCAATGAATGGGAAGGACAAACTCTTTAGAATGTCATGTCTTTATTGTAAAAAAAAGAAGACCTTCACTGTAAATCTAATTTTCTGTTCCTATTCTCTCACCTAATAACTTTGAAGACTACAAAGTTAAATTTGATATTCCCAAGGAAATCAAGTTTTGGACTAGATTACCAGCAGCAATCCAGTCCTGATTTAAGTACTCTTAAAACCATTGATTTCATCTGTAATCAGAATAGAGAATATGGTAATCGGCCTTACCATTTAAGGTTTTCTAATACTGTCTGGCTCATTCTATAGGAAGAATACTGTTATTGGTCTTTTGTATAGAGGTACTTATATTTACCCTCTTCTCAATGTATCTACTTGTCTCATGGAATAAACTCTTTGCCGATGAGCAACACTGGCCTCTTCCAAGGAATATGGGTTTGACACATACCGGTAGATGAGCTTTGACTTTTGTTGTAAAGGAAGGATCAAGGCATCCCTAAGGCTCAACTCACAGAGCTGTCCTTTCTGTGTGATCATCTGCAATGGGAGGTTTTAGCAGAAGAAGGTTTCTTAATCTTTTGTTTCTGCAGGAATGTCTTGGCTCTCTGCTATGGCCCGAAGGTCAGGTAGTCTTTGAGACCACTGGTGCTCTGTATTCACCTGGTTCCCCCTGCCCTCCAGCTGCTTTTTATCTTTTCTCTTGCATCCTGTTCATTTGTTTTGTCCTCACTTCTTCTGTTTCCTGACCTTGTTCATCCTTGCTGCTTTTTTAAGCTGTTACAAACCAGATGTCTCAGGATATGATGCTAATGATGATCAATGTCTCTCTCTTTTTAAAGTTAACTTTTAAATCTTTATTTTTGTACTGTTATTTAAAAAAACAATGGGGTGGGTTGTTAGAATAAGATGAAATATTGTATTTTCCAGTTTCTAAGCAGCACCCTCTAATTGCTGTATGTTCTGCTATTTGGCAAAATACTGGATTACTTTTCTTACCCTTCTGGTATTGTTGGGAAATGCACTTTCAGGAACTAATTTTTCATGGCCCCCCAAATTGACTTTTCATGCTGTCACAGCTTCCCCTGCTGGGGGAACAAAGTAATACAGACAGAACTTTCTTCTAGCCTTGCAAGTTTCAGGGTTGCTCAGT